AGACCCAAGGATGTTGAGGGGGCTTTGTGGTTTCCGGGAAAAATAGAGGTTTGGGGGCAGGGTTCAGGGTCCCAAACCCCAAGCACCCAGCCCACAACACCCCAAAGCCTCGCATGCTCATAGGTACGGGACGAGCACTTCTACCAGATCGCCGCGCTGCAGTGCGCATCCGGGTTGCTCCTAAGGGTTTGGGGTTTAACTAGGGTTCAGGGTTCAGGGTTCAGGGTTTAGGGTTTAGGGTTTAGGGTTTAGGGTTTAGGGTTTGGGGGTATCCTAAGTCGCAAGGATAAGAAGGCGCTGATAAGAAACCAAGACTCCTTGCTTTGTACTTCTATATTGCGTGGGCTTAGTTTCATCCTCAACCCTAAGCTCTAAACCCTAAACCCTAAACCCTAAACCCTAAACCCTAAACCCTAAACCCTAAACCCTAAACCCTAAACCCTAAACCCTAAACCCTAAACCCTAAACCCTAAACCCTCAACCCAAAAATGAAGCTCCTTGGCAACCGAGGCGTTGCTGTCGGAGCTCGCCAGGGCCTCCTACGAGTACCACGAGCGCCTGGCCATGATCTTCATGGTGTTTGGGGGTCTGGGGTTTAGGGTTTGGGGTTTAGGGTTTGGGGTTTAGGGTTTAGGGCTTAGGGTTTAGGGGTTTGGGGTTTAGGGGTTTGGGGTTTAGGGTTTGGGGTTTAGGGTTTAGGGTTTAGGGTTTAGGGTTTAGGGTTTAGGGTTTAGGGTTTAGGGTTTAGGGTTTAGGGTTTAGGGTTTAGGGTTTAGGGTTTAGGGTTTAGGGTTTAGGGTTTAGGGTTTAGGTTTAGGGTTTAGGGTTGAGGGTTGAGTGTTGAAGGTTGAGGGTTGAGGGGTGAGGGGTTGAGGAATTTCGGGGTTTAGGGGTTTGTGGAGCGCAATCCCTCAACTCCCAAGACCTAAAGCCTTAATCTGCTGGAGATCCTACAGACACCTCGAATTCCCTTCTCCCGATCCCCTTCTCCCGACGTAGGTATTTGTCGGGCGTCGGTTGGCTTTGAGGTGTAAGGTTTCGGGTTGAGGTTTAGGGCTTATAGGGTTTTAGGGTTTAGGGTCCTAAACCCTAAACCCTAAACCCTAAACCCTAAACCCTAAACCCTAAACCCTAAACCCTAAACCCTAAACCCTAAACCCTAAACCCTAAACCCTAAACCCTAAACCCTACACCCTACACCCTACACCCTAAACCCTAAACCCTAAACCCTAAACCCTAAACCCTAAACCCTAGACCCTAAACCCTAGCTCTCACGACGAGGCGCATGGCGCGAGCTGGCATGGTAGAGGCCCTCTTGGCTCCTCGCAGCACTGGATGATAGGGTTTAGGGTTTAGGGTTTAGGGTTTAGGGTTTAGGGTTTAGGGTTTAGGGTGTAGGGTGTAGGGTGTAGGGTTTAGGGTTTAGGGTTAGGTACCTAGGGAAGCTTAGGGAAGCCTAGGGAGCTTTAGGGAGCAATCAGTGGGGAGTTTTAGGGGACTTTGGGTTCAGGGTTTCGGGTTTAGGGTTTAGGGTTTGGGAAGGTGCCAAGGGGGGGTTTCAGGCTCGGTCGGGCCTGGAATTGTGGGGTTTGGGGTTGAGGGTTAGGGTGTAGGGTTTAGGGTTTAGGGTTTAGTCCAAACCCTAAGCTCTTAAATCCCCAAACCCCTAAACCCAAAACCCTTGAACTTAATCCATGTGTATAGTGCATAGTTTTTTTGCTTAGGGGCCGAGGTGTTGAGCATTTGTTGTTGTCATTTTGCTGTTTAGGGTTAAGCATTCAGGATTCAGGGTTCAGAGTTTGGGGCTTAGGGTTTAGGTTCCGGATATTGTTAGCACAGGCGCTGCTCAAACTTGGGGTAGTGGTGTCGAATTCTGGCAAGTTTTGGAGGGCTTCAGAACACACAGGGCACATTCACTGTTCACAAAAGCAAAGAAGCGAGTTCAGAAAAGCAGCAGAAGCAAACCCCTAGACCCTAGACCATAAACCCTAAACCCTATGTCCGTGTCTGCTGCTGCTGGTTATGGAATGGGAATTGAGGTTAGGATCAGGGGTTTAGGTGTAGAGTTTAGGGCCTTAGTCGTGAATTTGGGAGTTATGTACGCCAAGCATACGCTCTTGAAACCGCTCCATGTACATAGATATTGGGGACCTAAAGTGCTTAGTTTCCTAATTTCCGAATTCCTGAGTTCCCTATTTAGAACAAGTTCCTTGGGCGCCTCCCCCTGACCCCTCTAGAAAGAACCTACTCACCAATTCCCCGTACTACGAGCCCAGAAAGAAGATATACAGCCCTAAAACCCAACACCCCAAACCCTAAATCCCACAACCTCAACCCTAACCCCCAAGCCCTAAACCTTAAACCCTAAACCCTAAACCCTAAACCGTAAACCCTAAACCCTAAACCCAAAACCCGAAGCCCAGGTCTTCATCACCATTGCTGGCAAAGGGCTCCATGGTGAGGTTTGCATCGAGCTGCTGATGGGCTCTGTGTTCGGCATCGCAGCTCTCGCACCCTTGGCCCTGATTACGTTGGGGGGGGGGGGGGGGTTAGGGTTTAGGGTTTAGGGTTTTAGGGTTTAGGGTTTAGGGTTTAGGGTTTGGGGGTTTAGGTTTAGGGTTTTGGGTTTAGGGTTTAGGGCTTTAGGGTTTAGGGTTTAGGGTTTTGGGTTAGGGGTTTAGGGGTTTATGGGTTCAGGGTTTAGGGTTTGGGGTTAAGGGTTTAGGGTTCCTTGGAAGGGTCTCTGTTCCAACATGCACCTGCAACAGGGTCTGTGGAACCCGGAGCAACCATGTGATTGAGAACCGTAAGGCCCAAAGTTTTAGACTTAGATCCTAAACCCCCTAAGGGGCTGGGTAGGTACCTTTAACCTTTTGGTTATATCTAAATCCTAGTATATATAAAAGCTAAACCTTTTTTGGGTGAGGGTATTCAGCCCCTAAGACCTAACCCCAGACCACCTCTGGTCTCTAGCTGGCTGGTTCTTGGCAGGGAATGAGGGAATGAGGTACCCTACATGATCCCTTGAAGGGTTAGGGCCTCCCTCATTCCCTAGCCCTAAACCCCTAACCCCGAACCCCGAACCCCTAAACCCTAACCCCCCTAAACCCTAAACCCTAAACCCTAAACCCTAAACCCTAAACCCTAAACCCTGAACCCTGAACCCTATACCCTGTCACACCACCAAGCCGAGCGCTCTGCTTTGAGGTTGGCTCGCCCACGAGTGGCGAGCATTCCATGGCGAGTCTGCTTCTCGCTTGCAACGATGGGGCAGGTCATAGTTTAGGGTTTAGGGTTTAGGGCTTTAGGGTTTAGGGTTTAGGGTTTTGGGTTTAGGGCTTTAGGGCTTTAGGGTTTAGGGTTTAGGGTTTAGGGTTGACTGGGAAGAAGCAGCATACTTACTGGGCTTGCTCTACAGAAGGGGCTTTCTTTTTTTGGAGCTGGAACGAGGGCAACAAAATATCTCTCGCCCTGGCGAAGGCAAAAGCCCTTGAACCCCGAGGCCTAAACCCGAAACCCGAAACCCGAAACCCTAAACCCTAAACCCTAAACCCTAAACCCTAAACCCTAAACCCTAAACCCTAAACCCTAAACCCTAAACCCTGAACCTTCAACCCGAAACCCGAAACTCTAAGCCTTAAACCCGAAATCCGCAACCCTAAGCCAAGTAGTTCCGGGGGCGGTCCGGTCGTCGGGTCCTCCGCGCGGCCGCATCTTTCAGCCGCAACCCGGGTTTAGGGTTTAGGGTTTAGGGTTTAGGGTTTAGGGTTTAGGGTTTAGGGTTTAGGGTTTAGGGTTTAGGGTTTCCAAGCCAAGGATCTTCCCGGCGACGCGGATGCAGCTCCTCCTGTCCTTGCTACGGCTTCCGCAGGCTTCAGAGCCCAGGGTGTACGGTTTAGGGTTTAGGGTTTAGGGTTTAGGGTTCAGGGTTTAGGGTTTAGGGTTTAGGGTTTAGGGTTTAGGGTGTTGGGCTTGGGGTTTGGGGTTTAGGGTTTAGGGCTTAGGCTTTAGGGCTTGGGGTTTGCTGCTTGCAGCTTCCGGTCGCAAGATCACGACCCAAAAGCTGCCTCAACCTGAGTCCCTAAATCCTATAAACCCCTAGACCCTAAACCCTAAACCAGATAAACCCCTAGACCCTAGGCCCTAAACCCTAAACCCTGAACCCTAAACCCTAAACCCTAAACCCTAAACCCTAAACCCTAAACCCTAAACCCTGAACCCTGAACCCTGAATCCTAAACCCTAAACCCCTAAACCCCTAAACCCCAACCCCCCCCCCCCCCCCGGAATCTCTCTCTCCCAGGAGGACATCAACGAGGCCTTCCACGCGGGGACGGTTGGGCTGCGGACGCTGCAGCGGGTCGTCTATCCGAACATCACTCCTGAGGAGCCCCAAGGTTTTTTTGGAGGCTTTTTTCCCAGGGTTTTGGGGTTTAGGGTTTAGGGTCTTATAGGGTTTAGGTTTCTAGGATTTTGGGTTTATAGGGTTTGGGGTTTATAGGGTTTGGGGTTTAGGGTTTAGGGTTTAGGGGTGTGGGGTTTTCGGGCGTTGGGATCTCTTAAGACTTTAGGTTTTTGAGACAATGGGGCAACCCCCCCCTCCCCCCGCTGCCTTAGAGCCTTTTGCAACCCAGGAGACTCTGAGCCCAAGACACCTTTCTCGAGTTTTTAGGGTTCTAGGGTGTAGGTGTTGGGGCACGCTCTCTCAGCCTTAAGCCCCAAACCCTGAAACCCAAACCCCTAAGCCCCAAACCCTAAGCCCCAAGCCCCAAACCCTGAATCCTAAATCCCAAACCCCAAACCCTAAGCCCTAAACCCCAATCCCCAAACCCCAAAGTAGCCCCCCAAACCCTGAACCCTACAACCCCTCAAGTCCTAAACCCTTAAACCCCTAAACTCAAAAGGCCCTAAACGCTCAACCCTAAAAACCCTAAAAACCCTAAAAACCCTAAAAACCCTAAAAACCCTAAAAGCCCTAAAAGCCCTAAAAACCCTAAAAACCCTAAAAACCCTAAAACCCTAAACCCCAAAAACCCTAAAAACCCTAAAAACTCAAAAACCCTAAAACCCTAAAACCCCTCAAGTCCCAAACCCTTCAGGAGCTGCATGTGGATCAGATGGACCTCCTCGGCTTCATCGGGTGACCGGGATCCCAACACGGCCCGAAACCCCAAGCCCCAAACCCCAAACCCTAAACCCCAAACCCTGAAGCCTAAAAGCCCTAAGCTTTTCTATAAACCTTGAGACCTAAGCCATAAACCCAAAACCCTAGACCCTAAACCCTAAACCCTTGACCCTAAACCCTAAACCGTTCGAGGGCTTTTGCAGCTTAGGTCCCGCAAGGGAGCTCTAAAAGCTTCGTGGGCTTGAAGGGGTTTAAGGGGGTCTTAGGGGGTTTTAACGGGGTGTTAGTTGTTTTTTGGGGTGGCTGTTTCTGGATTTTTTCTCAGGGGTTTTCAAAGGGATTCTTCAAAGGGACGTTTCAAAGGGGTTTTTCATGGCTCTTTCGGCTTTTCAAAGGGTTTTTTGAGGAGTTTTACGACTTCCCTGCATCCAGGAACTGCCCGATCAAGCCCGCGAACTTCATCTATCGGACGCTTGTCGGGGGAAGAGGTCCGAAAATCCCTAAGCCCGAAGCCCTAAGCCCTAAGCCCTAACCCTAAACCCTAAACCCTAAACCCTAAGCCCTAAACCCTAAACCCTAAACCCTAAATCCCGAAGTTTCCCTAACCCCTAAACCCTGAACCCTAAGAACCCTCCACCCTCAACTGCCCATGCGCATTCTGTGAGATGGGTCGAGTTTCCAGCCGCATGAGCACAAGAGACCGGACTTTGCAGGACCAGTTCGACACCCGCAACCTTGGGGTTTAGGGTTTAGGGGGTTTAGGGGGTTTTGGGGGGTTTAGGGTTTAGGGTTTAGGGTTTAGGGTAGAAACGCGAGAAAACCATAGAACCCTTAGAACCTACAAGCCTTAAACAAAGCAACCTGACGAAGCTAAGAGCCCTCAGAGCCTTGAAAGCTAACAAAGATCCAATCCAGAAGCTCCGCGTAGCCACCCAACACGGAGCATCTGCACCATCTGCCTGCCACAAGGTTTAGGGTTTAGGGTTTAGGGTTTAGGGTTTAGGGTTTAGGGTTTAGGGATTACAAGGAATGTCATCCGGACCATGTGCCTGCTTCTTGCCCACCACGAGATGGGCCCGAGGCGGGTTTGGGGTTGGAGTTTTGGTCTTAGGGTCGTAAGGGTTTAGGGTTTCGGGTTTAGGGTTTCGGGTTTAGGGTTCAGAGTTTAGGTCTTAGGGGTTTATAGACCCTTACGATGTAGGGTTTAGTGTTTCAGGTTTAGGGTTTAGGGTTCAGGGTTTAGGGTTTAGGGTTTCGGGTTTCGGGTGTCGGGTTTCGGGTTTAGGGTCTTGGGTTGAGTGCTTTGGAGTTTTTTGTCTGGAGGGCTTGGACTTGATGCGGGCATGCGGTGTTCGTGTGTAGGGTCGGATGGGTTGTGGTAGGGCTAAACTTCAAGCCCCAAAGCCCAAAAGCCCCCAAAACCCTGACCCTAAACCCCAAAACCCCAAAACCCCAAAACCCCAAAACCCCAAAACCCCAAAACCCCAAAACCCCAAAACCCCAAAACCCCAAAACCCCAAAACCCCAAAAACCCCAAAACCCAAAACCCCAAAACCCCAAAACCCCAAAACCCCAAAGCCCCAAAACCCCAAAACCCCAAAACCCCAAAACCCCAAAACACCTCAAAACCCAGATCCCTGCGCCATCAGAATCTGCGTTTAGCGTTTAGGGTTTAGGGTGCTAATCTAGAGAACCCACCATATTCCCGGAAGGGCACCACGACGGAGAGGACTGGCCCCTGGCCCCCCGAAGGAGCAGAGCCTGAACCTTAAAGCCCCAAAACCCTTAAGCCCAACGGCCCTAAACCCAAAAGCCCGAAACTCTTAAAAACCGCAAACCCCTAAAGCCATGAAAGCGTAAAACCCTTCAACCCTACAACCGTAAACCCTACAACCCTACAACCCCAGAACCCTAAAGCCCTAAAGCCGCGGCAGGGTACAGCAGGCCATTACCCCGAGCAACGTGGTTCCCACGCCCCTAGGGAGACCTGGGAGTTTTTCGGATTGCTGCGGCTTTTTTTGGTGGTGAGGGTTTGGGGTTTGGGGGGTTTGGGGGTTTGGGGGTTTGGGGGGTTTTGAGGTTTTGGGTTGGAGGTTTTGGGTTTGGGGTTTGGGGTTTTAGAGTTGATAAGGTTGAAGGCATAGGGTTTAAGTTTGGGGTTTTTAGGGAAGTTGGGTTTAGGTACCCCCTTTGCTCTCCCCGCAGAAAAACGGAACCGTAGACCAGGGGCCCAAAAGCCACATAGACATAAGCATCCTACTATTGGGGTAGAAGCGGCCCTTACAAGGGGGGATTCTTGAGGACCCCTCTTTGTAGAATCCTGATGTTGATGTGGGTTTTTTAGCCCCTAGCATGGCGTGAAAGGGGTGGCTCAACGGTTTAGCCGGGGCGGGGGGGGGGGGGGTTGGCGTTTTGGCGTTCAAGTTGTGGGACTTGGTGTTGGAGATCGTTGGTTTGCGCTTTTGGTTTAGGGTTTAGGGTTTAGGGTTTAGGGTTTAGGGCTTAGGGTTTTTAATTCTGGGGTCTGGAGACTGGGAGCACAGCCCGAGGTGCCTGTTCGCGATGTCGGGATGTGAGGACACCTACGTGCAGGCGGCTGCGACTCATGAGCTATAGGGTTTAGGGTTTAGGGTTTCGGGTTTAGGGTTCAGGGTTTAGGGTTTAGGGTTTAGGGTTTAGGGCTATGATGCAAGGGAGTCATACCCGGACCACGAAGGATGTACCCCCTCAAAGGTTCCCTGAATGGTCAAGATTGGCATAGCGTTCAAAGACCTACCTAAAGCCCTTGTTACAGCCCTAAGCCCTAAACCCCGAACCCGCAGCCCACAACCCTACGCCCGAAGTCCAGCCCCTACATATAGCCTTGCACGAAGAAGGCCCCCGCCCCCTGTTCCTGAAATCATCCTCAAAATCTCTGCTTCCGAGCGTTTAGGGTTTAGGGGTGTTTTAGGGTTTAGAGTTTATGGTTTAGGGTTTAGGGTTTAGCGTTTCGGAAAATCCGCGATCTCCTGCTCCTCCGCCTCCGTCAGGTATACGGCTTTCTCCTGGTCGCGAACTTCTCCCGCGACAGGACGCAACTCCGCCCCGAAGGGTGCCGAAACTCGAAAACCCTAAGCCCTACAGCGGGTTTAGGGTTTAGGGTTTAGGGTTTAGGGTTTAGAGTTTAGGGAACCCTGAACCCTACAACCGCCTTCTGGACCGAAAGGGTCTTCGGGCTCGGGGTTCGAATGTCCATACAAAGGGTAGTTACATGCTCCCTTACCTCCTAGGATACACAATAAAAACCCGACATATTTCCTGGGCAGACTTCTTTCGTCGTTGCCTCAGGCTCCGCTGGTAGGGTTTAGGGTTGAGCGTTTCGGAAATCGCCCAAGCAAGGCTCCAAAACTAACAATAAACCCTAAACCCCCCAACCCTAAACCCTGACCCCTAAACCCTAAACCCTAAAGAGCCTCACTTTTGGCAGCAAGCGAGATTGTCGATTGCCAGGAGCCTTCTCTACAACTTTCTCAACGAGTCCGGTGTCATCAACGACGCTCACCTCCAGCTAGAACGGGGCTTATAAGAGTTTAGGGCGTTTATTGTTTAGGGTTTTAGGGCTTACACCCACGGGTGTTTGGGGTTTAGGGTGCTTGGGGTTTAGGGCTTAAAGTGCTTAGGGTTTTAGAGCTTAGGGCCTTAGCGTGTTTAGGGTTTAGGGTGTTCAGGACCTTTTTTGCATCAAGCCCTAAACCCTAAACCCTAAACCCTAAACCCTAAACCCTAAACCCTGAACCCTGAACCCTAAACCCTAAACCCTAAACCCTAAACCCTAAACCCTATACCCTAAACCCACACACCCTAAACCCAAAACCCAAAACCCAAAACCCAAAACCCAAAACCCAGAACCCTAAACCCTAAACCCTAAACCCTAAACCCTAAACCCTAAACCCTAAACCCAGAACCCTAAACCCTAAACCCTAAACCCTAAACCCTAAACCCTAAACCCAAAACCCTAAACCCAAAACCCAGAACCCTAAACCCTAAACTCTAAACCGGAGGTATCCTTGAAACCCTCTTTGCCTTGGCTTGCAACAAAAGGCCAAGGCCTGCAGTGTCAGCCACGGGAGGTGCAAAGCACCTGTTGTCCGCGCTCGCCCGCGGTTTAGGGTTTAGGGTTTAGGGTTCAGGGTTTAGGGTTTAGGGTTTAGGGTTCAGGGTTCAGGGTTCAGGGTTTAGGGTTTAGGGTTTAGGGCTAGTGAATAACCCACCACAAAACCCTGTTTCGGAATGATTTACTAGTACTACTCCCTTCGGGTCCCTTTATAGAGTCACCCACCAGGCCCCTACCATCCTACCCAAAAGCGTCTCTTGGCGAAAAATAACGCCCCAAACCCTAAACCCTAAACCCTAAACCCTAAACCCTAAACCCTAAACCCTAAACCCTAAACCCTAAACCCTAAACCCTAAACCCTAAACCCTAAACCCTAAACCCTAAACCCTAAACCCTAAGCCCTAAAGCCCTAAAGCCCCAAAGCCCTAAAGCCCTAAACCCTATCCCAGGAGCTGCTGACAACGATCCGACGATCTGGGCCCAATGCCAGCCAACCGGAGGACGGCTCCACGTTCTGGGTTTAGGGTTTAGGGTTTAGGGTTTAGTGTTTAGGTTGCTTAGGGTGCGGCCTTGAATTCAGGGTTTAGGGTTTAGGGCTAGGGTTTTGGGATGGCAGAGTTCTGGGATTTAAGGGTGTTTGGGGTGTTGAGGGTTTCGGGTTCTTGCGTTTTCCGGTTTAGGGTCAGCCTTGGGCGTTAGAGCCCAGGGCTGGGGTGCTTAGGGGCGTTCCGGGGCCCAGAACCCTGAACCCCAAGTCCAAACAAAGCCTAAACCCTAAACCCTAAACCCTAAACCCTAAACCCTAAACCCTAAACCCTAAACCCTGAACCCTGAACCCTGAACCCTGAACCCTGAACCCTGAACCCTGAACCCTAAATAACCCTACATCCTAAACCCCCAAACCTTATGTGTTTAGGTGGTCAGGTTTTGAGTGTGGGCGTCCTTGAGGTGTTTGGGGTGATAGGGTTTCAGGGTGCAGGGACTTTCAGATTCAGGGCTTTTCGGGGGGCTTGCCCACACCCCAAATCCTGAGTCTAAACCCTAAACCCTAAACCCTAAACCCTAAACCCTAAACCCTAAACCCTAAACCCTAAACCCTAAACCCTAAACCCTAAACCCTAAACCCTAAACCCTAAACCCTAAACCCTGAACCTTAGACCCCCAAGCTCTGCCCACCCACGACTCCTGCAACGCTGAGGCTTAAGTGGGGCTCGCCCAAACCCCTAGGTTTAGCGTTTAGGGTCTAGGTTTTGGGGTTTAGGGTTTAGGGTTTAGGGTTTAGGGTTTAGGGTTTAGGGAACTGCTCACAGCCCAAACTAAACCCTTCAGCCGAGATGGAAACAGTGCTGTAGGATCCAGTCCCGGTCAAGGACAAGTGGCTGGGCCCAGCAGTGGTTTAGGGTTTAGGGTTGAGGGTTTGGGGTTTAGGGTTTAGGGTTTAGGGTTCAGGCTTGAGGGTTTGGGGTTTAGGGTTCAGGGGTTTAGGGGTTTAGGGGTTTAGGGGTTTAGGGGTTTAGGGGTTTAGGGGTTTAGGGGTTTAGGGGTTTAGGGGTTTAGGGGTTTAGGGTTCAGGGTTGAGGGTTTGGGGTTTAGGAGGGTTGAGGGTTGAGGGTTTGAGGGTTCAGGGTTGGGGTTTAGGATTTAGGGTTCAGGGTTGAGGCTTTTGAGTTTAGGGTTCAGGGTTGAGGGTTTGGGGTTTGGGGTTTAGGGTTTGCGGTTTAGGGTTCAGGGTTGAGGCTTTGGGCTTGAGGGTTGAGGGTTTGAGGGTTGAGGGTTCAGGGTTTAGGGTTTGGGGTTGAGGGTTGAGGGTTTGGGGTGCAGGGTGTAGGGTTTGCAGGTCCAAAAAGGGTTCTTCTGGGTGCCCTAGTAGGGCTGGTATTTGACCAGGGGCCATCATTGAATTTTGGAAGTTTCTCTCGGCGTGATTAGATCAGGCTCTGGGGTTTAGGATTTAGGGGATTGGCATTGCAGGTCGAAACCCTAAACCCTAAACCCTGAACCCTGAACCCAGAACCCTAAACCCTAAACCCTAAACCCTAAACCCTAAGCCCCGCTGAGGCTTGCCACAGTGACGGGGCCCTGGAGCAGCGTGGCCGTCTCGCGGAATCGTTTCGTGGCCATTCTGGAACCCTGAACCCGGAAACGCTAAACCCTAAACCCTAAACCCTAACCCCTAAACCCTAAACCCTAAAACCCTAAACCCTAAACCCCAAACCCGAAACCCTACACCCGGTAACGCCGTTCGTTTGCGGCCCCGCGTGTTTTGCGTGTGTCATTTTGGAGGTGGACGCCGGCAAACGTTGAAAACTCGATGTTGTTGCGCGTCACATTCGCTGGACGTGTCTTGTCTATGCTCAAAGTCATGACTGCCACCAAGGGTTCGTGATCGCGTGCCCAAAAGCACTGCCCACAGCGATGTTTTGCACGCTTGCGAAGTGCTAGTTTCAAAGTGCTCGCTTGTTGAACGCTTTTTCGGGCCAAAACGCTGCGCACAGCGTTCTTGCGCTTATGTCAAGAGGCAGTATTGTGTACAGAGAAGCAAAGTGCTGCAAATACGAATGTTTGGGGCATCTTCACCAAGGGCATGAAATCGCTTGTGGCCGCGTGTCTTGCTCCATAAGCGTGCAAACATGTGCAAACATTCTTGGCAAAAACGCTGGAGATTTTGGGCAAGGTCGCCATATGAGTAGCCACACATCCCACCCCCCCCCCCCTCTCCTCCCCCCCCCCTCCCCCCCCTCCCCCCCCCTCCCCCCCCCCTCCCCCCCCCCCCCTCCCCCCCCCCCCCCTCCCCCCCCCCCCTCCCCCCCCCCCCTCCCCCCCCCTCCCCCCCCCCCCCCTCCCCCCCCCTCCCCCCCCCCCCCCTAGCGTGAGGTTTAGTGTTTTGGACTAGGGCTTCCGGATTTGGAGCTTAAGAGTTCAGGGTTAAGGCATTAAGGGACATGGGTTTAGGGATATGGGTTTCGGGTTTAGGGTTTAGGGTTTAGGGTTTAGGGTTTAGGGTGTAGGGTGTAGGGTTTAGGGTTTAGGGATAGAGGTTTATGACGGGCAAGCGACAAGTCGCGAAGATTGCCTGGTTCATGGGACTCTACAAAAAGTCCCTTGATAGACTGTAGATCTTGTCCAATCCGGGGCCCTAAACCCTAAACCCTAAACCCTAAACCCTAAACCCTAAACCCTAAACCCTAAACCCTAAACCCTAAACCCAGAAGCCCTTGAGTCAGGCTTCATGCTGGCCATGTCGGCGCTGACCAACTTCGCTGAGCCTCTTGCCTTCGATTGAGGGTGTCTAGGTCCGGGGACTGAGGCCATAAACCCTAAACCCTAAAACCTAAACCCTAAACCCTAAACCCTAGACCCTTAACCCTAAACCCTCAACCCTAAACTCTAAACCCTAAACCCTAAACCCTAGCCCGATTTTGATGTCGAGCTGATTGTGAGACCCCCAACAGGCAAGGCGTGCAGCCGACGCCGCAAAGCTCAGACCGCGGGGTTCTAGCGCAGCAAGATGCGGATGTTGAGAATGCCCATGCACGCGTTGCCTCTATGCTGAGACCCTCCGCAGCGGCTTGGGAGACCGGTATGATCTTCCTTGGCAGGGGACGCTGCCATCAGTGGATGAGATGGACATTGGCGAGGGTTTAGGGTTTAGGGTTTAGGGTTAGGGCTTAGGGTTTGGGGTTCAACCCTAAATCCTAAACCCTAAACCCTAAACCCTAAACCCTAAACCCTAAGAGGGTGTTGGGGGCCAGACACAAAAGCTTCAACAATGCCTCGCCCTAAAATAAACCCTCAAACCCTAACCTAAACCCCTAAATCCGAACTCCTAATCCTTAAGCCCTAGGCCCCTAAGTCCTAAACCCTGAATCCTAAACCCTAAACCCTAAACCCTAAACCCTAAACCCTAAACCCTAAACCCTAAACTCTAGACCCTAGACCCTAGACCCTTAACCCTAACACCTTTTGCAAAGCCCCGCGGGGCGAGGCGCGTCAAGGAGAAGTACCGCGGCGATGACGGGGAGATCCCCGTGAACCCAGACATGAAGGTGGGGGGTTTAGGGTTTAGGGTTTAGGGTTTAGGGTTTAGGGTTTAGGGTCTAGGGTTTTAGGGATATAGGGGTTTAGGGTTTAGGGTTGAGGGTTTAGGGGTTCAGGGGTTTAGGGTTTCGGGTTTCAGGTTTAATCAGGGCTCAGGGCTTGGAGTTTTAGGGTGCCGGGCTTGGGGCTTGATGGCTTCGGCTTTTCAGGGCTCAGGGCTTAGAGTTCAGGGTTTTTTCCGGGGATTTTTGATTTAGCTCAGGCTTCTTGAACTCTCAACCCTAAACTCTTGCGCTTCATCGCTAGTATTATTGTTACTGTTGTTTGAATAGTACTGTTTTTGCAGAAAAGAATATTCGATTTAGAAATACAGCCTAAACCCTAAACCCTAAACCCTAAACCCTAAATCCTAAACCCTAAACCCTAAACCCTAAACCCTAAACCCTAAACCCTAAACCCTAAACCCTAAACCCTAAACCCTAAACTCTACTTTGGTGCTTTTGGAGATCAGGGTTTGGCTCCAGTGATGAAAGGGGCGGGTTGTAGAGCTGAGGGTTGTCAGCCGCCGGTTCTTGTTTGGGCTCTAAGCCTGCCCTGCAAGAGTTTAGGGTTTATAGGGTTTAGGGTTTAGGGTTTAGGGTTTAGGGTTCAGGGTTTAGGGTTTAGGGTTTAGGGTTTAGGGTTTAGGGTTTAGGGTTTAGGGTTTAGGGTTTAGGGTTTAGGGTTTAGGGCACCCCTAAGCCTTAAAGCAGCACATGATTTTTGGAGTATACCCTCTTGGGGGCAGGTGGGGAGCCCTGTGAGTGTTAGGGTTCAGACCTTTCAAGGGCTAGGAGAGCTTCTGGCGTTCTATGGTGCAGGTTTCTGAAGCCATTCTGGCGCTTCGGGCTTTAGGGGCCTTAGGGCTTGTGCTAAGCCCTCCCCCAGAAAACCCCCGCCTAAGCCTTCACTACACACCAAAGCCTAAGCCCTAAACCCTGATCCACAAGCCCGAAGACTCCCCCCCTGTCACCCCCCACCCCAGAACCCGAGAACTCAAAAGGCCAGCTACCCTAAACCCTAAACCCTAAACCCTAAACCCTGAACCCTGAACCCTAAACCCTAAACCCTAAACCCTAAACCCTAAACCCTAAACCCTAAACCCTAAACCCTAAACCCTAAACCCTAAACCCTAAACCCAAAAGCTAAACCCCAAACGCAGGACGATGGCGGCCTCGTGATCTCCAACCGCATCACCCTGAACAAGCTCACGTCCAACTGCTTAAGGGCCCCTCACGCCGCAGAACTACTACTTGCTGAAGAACCCCCCAACAGCTTAAAAGAACAATCCCTATGTTACCCTTATAAGGAAGAATAGCTTTATGTTTTGGGGGGTTCTTAAGTGATTGGTAGAGAACAGTACTACAGGTTGAGGGGTTCAGGGGTTTCCACAACCCTAAACCCTACACCTTCAGGACCAGGATCAAAAGAAGTTGTACGTGATATCATTCCGAACTTACAAGGGTGCTTGTCTAAACAAGCTGGCGCCACACGAAGCCCAGTCCCAAACACATTCCACCAAAAGACATCAAAATAAGTTGATCCAAAACGCCCCTGGAGTCCAAAATGTTCACGTTCGATTAAACGACTTCAAAAGCCAGAGGCTCCGCAAAAGCCACTAAAACCAGGCTTCAAAGGCCCCAAGGGGCCCCAGGGCAAAACTCGGAACCTTCGCGGTCAAGTCAAACTTTCGGTCAAACTCCAGACCTGAACCCTAAGCAATTTTCTGTATCGCCCTGAATCCTCCAAAACCTTCCCTATATCTTATCTAGACAGAAGCCAAAACCTCAAGCGAACTGGCAACACTTACGCCCGCCCGCTTTCAAGAGCACTGCGGAACAGAACTTTCGCATACTTTCGCCGAATACTCGAGCAAAAAAAAGTCCGGGCACGAAAGCGCAACAGAACGGCTCGCTCAAACTCCGGACGCGAACCCTACACAGCCAGCACCCTCTCGGAGAAGAGAGCAGCAAGGAACAAGCATCGCTGCCCCCCAAAAAATAGGAAACAAAAGACCTATAGACCCTAAAAACCTAAGGGGATTGCAGCTCAAGGGGTCTGAGGTCTTTCAGGGTGGAGGGTGCAGAAGCTTCAGCCTGTCGGGGTTTGGGGTTTAGGATTTGGTGTTGGGGGTTGGGGGTTTGGGGTATGGGAGGGTTTGAAGTCCGAGGCTTGGGATAAACCCTGAATCCCCAAAAAACCCCCCCCAAACCCCCCTAAGCGCAAAGTCCGACACTCCCAGCCCCCAAGGCCCCCAGCCCCGACAGCCCCCCCAAAAAAGAGCAAATGAAAAGCACGAAAAAAAGAAACACCCTGCGCTTTAGGGTTTAGGCTTTAGGGCGTAGGGTGTAGGGTTTAGGTCCGTAGGGTTTGGGGTTTGGGGTTTAGGGTTTAGGGTTTAGGGTTTAGGAACCCAGGATTTGGATACTCATGGCATGGAGCGGCGGCTTGCCGAAATGACGCCTACTGAGGACCAACCAGGGGCGCGCTCTGTGGGTGCGGGTTAGGGTTTAGGGTTTAGGGTTTAGGGTTCAGGGTTCAGGGTTTAGGGTTTAGGGTTTGGGGTTTAGGGTGTAGGGTTTAGGGTTTAGGGTTTGGGGTTTAGGGGTTAGGGTTTCGGGTTTAGGGATGAAGGGCGATAGCTTTGAAAGAGACTATCGGCTCCTGGTTAAGCATCCCGACCTACCCTTCTTGTACTTGAGGGCCAGTGGAGGGTTTAGGGTTTAGGGTTTCGGGTTTAGGGTTTAGGGTTTAGGGTTTGGATTCCACAGTTCAAGGTTCCAAGTCCCGGTTGAGGAGGGGCAGTGTTTCTAAACTCGGTCGAAACACCCCAAACCCAAAGGCCTGAACCCTGAACCCTCAAGAGTTAGGGACTTCAGGGTTTGGGGGTAGAGGTGCTTCAGTGTTTCATTTTTGGGCTTTGCCTAAACCCTAAACCCCAAGCCCTAAACCCTAAACCCGAACCCCAAACCCCAAACCCTACACGCTAAGCCCTAAGCCTTAAGCCCTAAGCCTTAAGCCCTAAACTTGGGGCGGGGCTCTACCATCATTTGCAGGCCTGTACTATGACAGAAATGCTCGCCGGTAACGGGGCTTGTAACGGGGCTTGTAACGGAAACTGTAACGGAAAGGAGCGGAGCAGTAACGGACTTGTCGCGGAGCTGTAACGGAGTCGTATCGGAAGGCTGCAACGGAGCGCTACCGGCTGCAGCGATGCCGTAACGGAAGCTGTAACGGAGCCGTAGCAGAAGCAGCAACTTGATAACGGACCTGTAACGGAACTGTAACGGAGCTGTACAACTGAGCTGTAACGGGAGCTGTGGCGGAGCTGTAACGGAGATGTAACGGAGCTGTAACGGAGCTGTAACGGAGCTGTATAACTGAGCTGTAACGGAAGCTGTAACGGAGCTGCAGCGGAGGTGCATCGGAGCTGTAATGGAGCTGTAACGGAGCTGTCACGGAAACTGTAACGGAAGCTGTAACGGAGCTGTAACGGAGGTGCAACGGAGCTGTAACGGAGCTGTAACGGAAGCTGTAACGGAGCTGTAACGGAGGTGCAAGGGAGCTGTAACGGAGCTGTAACGGAGGTGCATCGGAGCTGTAACGGAGCTGCAACGGAACTGTAACGGAAGCTGTAACGGAACTGTAACGGAAGCTGTAACGGAGGTGCAACAGAGTTGTAACGGAGCTCTAGTGGAAGCTGTAACGGAGGTGCAACGGAGCTGTAACGGAACTGTGGCAGTTGCTGTAACGGAGCTGTAACGGAGGGCCCACGGTGGGTAGCGCAAATCCCATAGTAAATGATGGTAGAGCCCACCCTAAACCCTAAACCCTACGTGCCCCATGAACTTCCGATGGCACCCTCCAAGCCCTGAATGCGCTCCATTTTACACCCCTAAACACTACAACCCTAAGCCCCCCAAAAAGCCACCCAAAAGGCAGCCAGAAGCCCTAAGAAGCCCCAAGATGCCCGAAGAAGCCCTAAGAATCCCTAAGAAGCCTTAAGAATCCCTAAAAAAGAGAGCCCTCAACCCTAAACCCTAAACCCTAAACCCTAAACCCCACAACCACCTGAAGGAGTTCATCTCGATGCTTCGGGCAGCTGCCCCAACACTCTTGGGGGAAGCTTACTTGGAGGTTCATGGTACATTTTAACCAATAGGGTTTAGGGTTTAGGGTTTAGGGTTTAGGGTTTAGGGTTTAGGG